CATGGACCGTGAGAACTGGTGCAATCTATTGCACCAGAGAATTCTCGAAGCTCACAGCCCAACTCCAAGGCGGAAAGTTTCTGTTGGGGGCAGAATCAGATTGGTCTGGGAAAACCCACAGGCCAAAACGGCCTTATGGCAAAGGCAGCTCAATCTTATGTCAGAGGCAGTGTTCCCTGTCCTATCAGAAGCCCAAAGTAGAGTTTTCACAAAGGAACCAAAATTGGCAAGAAGGACAAAACTGGCTACGCTGCATTAAGATCCCAAAGGATGTCTTCTCTCCTCTCCTGAAGGCATTCTAAAAACCAGAAAGAAAGAAAAAATCAGTTGCTGCAGAGTCTATACCAACTCATGGCAACTCCAGGTGTGTCCGAGTAGAACTGTGCTCCACAGGGTTTCAGTGACTGATTTGGGGGAGGCACTTCTGGGTGGACGCGAGGTCCTTTCAATTAACAACTGAGCCGGTTTACAGTTTGCACCACCCAGAAGTTTCTATACAGGGACACTAACTAGATGGGCCCTGTGTCTAACCTGGTGGATTTTCAAAGCTCTGGATGGCCCAGCTTGAAGGGACTGGTGTCATCTTGAAGCTGCGACAACAGACTTCTATAATTTCCCTGAGGGCCCAATTATCTTATGGGAACCACTTCCTTTAAGCTCACGCCTCTGGATCCACACCTTCCCAAGAGTAAGGAAGGGAAGCTCATGTTGTAATTATCATTTCCAGGATTCAATTTGCACCCCATCAACACTAGAGGCCCACAGAGTCCCAAGGCTGGGCTGACCTTGAGGAACAAAGGAATTCACTTTTTTTAGCTCTGTTTCTTCAGGATCCATCTCTTAGGCTTAGACTAACATTTAGGAACAATACGCTGTTGTAGAAATCTACAATTTTTTTACAAAACCGGTGAGAGAGAGGAATGTTTCTCTGAATTTCCAAAAGAAAATAGCATTCAGAATAAAATGTAAGATGCTTCTTGACCCTGGTCTCCTCCCTGACCATCTTCACACTCCCTCTTCCCCAGTCATTCTGTGCCCACTGTTGTTGTTGTTAAGTGCCGTCCAGTCGATTCCAACCCATAGTGACCCTGTATAGGGTTTCCAAGGAGCAGCTGGTGAGCTTGAACCGCCAAGCTTGCAGTTCAAATGACTTTGCCGTTTGACACATTAACCCACAGCATCACACCAGGACTCCTCTGTGCCCATTACACTTTGTCAAACAAAGGCAAATTCACTTTCTCCTCTGTACCTCCTAGTACCTCCCCAGGAATGCCTTCCCTCCCTTACTTCATCCAGGATGAACTCAAATGCCACTCACTAAATATGACCCTTTCAGTTCTATTTGAGGAGCTTGGGTAGTGCAAGCAGTTTGTGATTGGCTGATAGCCAAAAGGTCAGCAAATCAAACCCACCCAGTGGTTCTATTGAAGAAAGGCCTGAAAATCTGTTTTTGTAAAGATCACAGCTATGAAAACCCTACGGAACACAGTTCTACTCCACACAGTAAGACGTGTGGTCATGAAGAGTCAGGGTGTGACGTGAAGGCTGCTAACAACAGAACAACACTCCTATTTACAGTGTAATTGGAGGTAATTTGATGAACGTGTTAAAGACTTATTGATGACATATACGTTTTTATGTAAAAAGATGCAAGGGTAAATGCTGCAAATCGATTTTCTTTATTCTATTTTTTGTTCTCTTTCCAAAATGCCTTTCCTTTTGATGTGCCTTGGAAAACTGAAAGTCATGGCATCTATTTCTGAAATGAACCTTTTTGAAAATTTAATGGACGAGCCTTATGAAGCACTAGAAGCTGAGGACTTGGATGGCAATGTAAGTTGGATTAAAACTTGAGACTACCTTTCTTTGAATGAGGGAGCAGGTGACCAGTAGGTAAGGATCTCTTGAGCCCTGGGATTCCCGGTTTCACCCTGTGATTGTTATTGTTGTTAGGTGCCATCAAGTTGGTTCCGACTCACAGTGACCCTGTATAGGGTTTCCAAGGAGTGGCTGGTGAACTTGAACCACTGACCTTGAGGTTCAAACCAACCTTGCCGTTCAGCGCATTAACCCACAGCACCATACCACAATTCTGTGGCTAGCGCCCCTAATTGAATTAAAACAGAAATTGGTTTAAATGCCGCATATTAAATCTCAGAAGGTCAATGTAAAGCCAAATGAGGTGCACCAAACCCCTACCTGCTGAGTGCTTTGCTAGTAATGCAAACAAATGTCCCCACAGTGCTTTTTAAGACAGAAATGCAGAAAACAAAATATGAAGACTATCTAGGCATGAAGGCAAATCACCCATTGTCCAAATCGCATCTAAAAATAAACTTCACTTCCAGAAAGAGTGAATGGATGTACTTTTCCCACTAAGTACAGCTAATGTTTCTCGACATTCTATGTAAAAGATACGACTCTCCAAGGCAGGGGTTAAAAAACAGACTGGCAAGGAACCTCAGAAGTCAAGGACCAGAGTGGTGGTCGTTCTCCATTTTTTTCTTTTTGGCCTCATGCATTTCAGACTGGGAACTAGAGAAACTGGCAAGCCCAAAAGACACAGACTGAAAAATGTCCCAACTAAAGCCTAGTTTTTCCTGGAACTAGAACCAAGAACCCAAAAACTTCTAGAAAATAACGCGTCTACTGTAGTCAAATACTACAATAAAAATAACACAACCCAAACTCGCAGTCTTCCTGTGACCATCACGACCTTCAGAAGGTCAAACAACCAGCACAGGAAATTCAACAGGTGACCGGGCCCCAGCTGACCTCACTAGCCAGAGATGAGAGGAGCCATCTTAATATTGTGACTGAACCGTATAAGTATAGTCTATTGTGTTATCTTTAAAACAAAATTTTTTGAGATAGTTTTATAAATGTGCCACATGGATTTTTGGTCTACCCCCTAAAACCTGGTAGTTTTAATTTCCTGTATTGAGGTATCTCAAGATTTACAGCAGGCTGTCTATGTAGGTAGTAGTGGTTGTGTGCTGTATAGAGTTGGTTCCGACTCAGAGCAACCTTGCATAGGGTTTCCGGGGCTGTAAATCTTTATGGGAGCAGAAAGCCTCATCTTTCTCCCATGGAGAATGGTTGGTAGTTTCGAACTGCTGACTCTGAGGTGAGCAGCCCAACTCGTAACCACTACACTACCAGAGCTCCTCGTCCATGTAGGTGGCAGTGTTATAACTATCCTGGCCAATACTGCTAAGAAATTCTCTTAGGATGGTGGGTACTAGCAGTGGCAGAGTGAAATCTTATATCCCTCAAACCCAGAATTAGTCAGACATGCGTCTCTAAACTTACCTCTCAAAAAGGCACAAACTTGGCATGCAGTTTTTTTAGGGGAGTAGGAAGAATTTTCCACACAAAAACAAACTAAAATCAAGCCTGTTGCTGTTTAATTAATTCTGCTTTGATACAGCACTGTTAGCTCTGGTAGCGTAGTGGTTACAAGTCAAGGTCAGCAGTTTGAAACTACCAGCAATTCCACAGAAAAAAGATGAGGCTTTTTGCTCCCGTAAAGATTTACAGCCTCCAAAACCCTATGCTGGGTCGCTGAGTTAGAACCAATTCTACGGCACACCACCACCACCATATACCTTAAAACTGAAATACTACCGCAGAGAGAGAAAACACTTTAGATTGTATATTCCATACAAGATTTACTAAGATAGAAAATGTGATCTCAGACATTTTCAGAAAGATTTCAACTACAGTTGAAACTTAAAGGGATTGTTTTAATTAGAAGCCTAAATTATTCAGAACCTTTGGCAGTTACATAAATTGAGATTGTGCTGTTTCCAGTGAGGGAGCTGCATTTCCAGGCAGAGGGCCACCTCTCCCAGGGAACTTAATGAAGGTCTGCAGAAGCATGATCCATTTGGGAATATTTTTTTGTGGCAGGTGACCTGAGCGGTTGTGCTGGGGCATTCAGCAACTTGCCTGGCCATCCCCAAGGCTTTCCTACTAACAGCTTCTAGGCAGCAGTGTGATACAATGAGCTGCTTTTTTTGTTTGTTTCTTTAAGTATTGTTATTCAAACTAGCTTTTGAATGGTTAAGTATTGTTATTCAAACTAGCTTTTGAATGGTAAGTATTGTTATTCAAACTAGCTTTTGAATGGTAAATATTGTTATTCAAACTAGCTTTTGAATGGTAAATGTACCACAGGCACTTTGCTATTTAAATATGAAAATTGTGGCAAACCCAAGGAAACTAATATTTCTCCACATCCTTACCTCCCAGAAATAACTACGGTGGTATGAAGGTGTAGGATAAGCTTGCCACAAGGTCATTTGAACCACAATGTCAAAATCACCAGCCACTCCTTGGAAAACCTATACAGGGTCGCTATGAGTCAGAATCAACTTGACAGCACTTATCAACAGTCTTTCATGTGTTCTTCTAGAAAATCTAATGCATATAGAAAGCATGCCAACTCACTGATATTGAGTTCATTCTGACTCATAGAGAGCTCAAAGACATTGTTAGGGTTTCAGAGGTTGTAAGTCTTTTAGGGAGCAGAAAGCCTCATCTTTCTACCACAGAGCTAATGGTGGGTTTAATCCTCCGACCTTTCAGCTAGCAGCTCGATGCTTAACCTAGTGCACCACCAGGGATCCTTTATATATTCTTAGATGGAGTGATAATATATATCTGTTCTCTCTCCTGATTTTCCCTTAATAACTTATTTATGAGGTTGGTGGTGGGGATGGTGGTGTGCCACGGAGTCAGTTCCCACTCATAGAGACCCCGTATAGGATTTGTGAGGTTGTAAATCTTGATGGAAGCAGAAAGTCTGATCTTTCCCCCTGGGGAGTAGCTGGTAGATTTAAACTGCTGACCTTGCAGTTAGCAATCCTACACTTCACCCACTAGCCACCAGAGGGCCCCTTCTGAGATCTGTAGTAGTCCATCATACAGGATTGTTGTTAACTGCCATCAAGTTGGTTCCAACTAACAATGATCCTCTATAGGGTTTTGGTAGCGTAATGGTTACGCGTCGGGCTGCCAGCATCAAGGTCAGTAGTTCAAAACTACCAGCTTCAAAAGATGAGGCTTTCTGCTCCCGTAAAGATTTACAGCCTTGGAAACCCTATGTAGGGTCACTATGAGCCGGAACTGACTCCACGGTACTTAACAACAACAAATAGGGTTTCTGAAGGAGCTCTGGTAGTATAGTAGGAACCACAAGGTCAGCAGTTCAAAACTACCAGCCATTCCACAGGAGAAAGATAAGGCTTTCTGCTGCCATAAAGATGTACAGCCTCGGAAACCCTGTACAGGATCGCTATGAGTCGGAACGGACTCCACGCACATAACAACAACAATAAGGTTTCTGAGAAGCATCTGATGGGTTTGAACCTCTGACCTTGCAGTTATCAGTCCAGTGCTGATCCTACAGCGCCTCTCCAGGATTCCGTGGGCAATGGTAGATGCCATATTATCTGATGAACAGACCATCATCTCCAAAGTAGAGGATGCCAGATTACTAACCCAGGCAAACAGGAAGTCACTCCACCCCAAGGGGGGATTGTCAGCAATGAGGAACTCAAAGGCACAAATTCTGGCCATAAGGGTTGTTTGCTATAGCTGCCTGATTCCAGCAGTAGGAAAAGGAGTAGAACCAAGGCTGCAAGTGAGACATGCCACACCTAAGACAACAAGGTCACCCCTGCCCCCCACCTATAGGAAAGACCAACCACAAGCTTTATCTTTGTTTCAGCTAGGGAACATGCAGCTAGGATATGCTGGCCTTTAACTTGCTATAATCCTATTGCAATAAATCTTTTCAATGGTTTTAGAAGCAAAAATGTCACTTTGATAACTAAAGTGTATCTGACCTGTCCTGGTATTTTCTATTGTCTCATATTCATGTGAAAGTTGTATAGTGAGAAGGGGAGACAGAAAACGAATTGTGACATGTTCTAGATTGTGAAAAAGACACATATGAATTGTGGCATGAAGAAAATTGAATATACATACTATGGACTACCAGAGAATGAACAAACCAGACTTAGAATAATTAATACTAGAATGTTCCGTAGACACGAAGATGATGATTTCCATCTTGTTTACTTTGGACACGTCAGTAAGACAATCACTAGACAAAGATATCATTTTTTGTAGAGTAAAGGGTCAACACAATGTGGGAAACTCTCAATGAGATGAGCTGACACAATATCCACAACAATGATTCAAATAGAGTAGTAATCATGAGGATGGGATGGAACCTGGCGGTGTTCCATTTGGTTATACAGTTAGAACCAACGCAAAAGCAACTAATAACACCAGCTTACATAGAGAGATAATGGTATGCTGAACATTATCAAATAGAGAACAACAATGACCACCCAACTCTGTAGGCGAGCAGGGACTAGGTTACATGGCACACCCATGACTTTCTTCTCCAGCAAGCCAACATTCATTTTTATCAAAAGTGATCCAAAAATGAAGCTTTTGTAAGGACCCATAGGGTCAGTCCTGGTGAGCACCATGAACTTAGGATGGAATGACCAGATTTCCAAAAGTAAAAAGGCAACTTGCACTATCATTATTTTGAAAGAATCTTTAATCACAGAATTGTCCAAGAAAGTAACATGTAATGTGGAAAGCAGCTTCCCTAAAGATTCACACATTGAATCAATAAGCAACCATTGTGAGCTTGGTCATTCATGGACCCCAGAAGTCTGTCAGGTGTTTATGGTATGGAAGGTGTTGGACATCCTAATGCCATCTCCACATTTTAGAAAAATAAGATCATTTTATATTCTCTCAAACACTTTACTAGTAACTTCCAGCAAGATGGCACACTGGGCAGACATACTACTCAGACCCTCTACAGCAAAGATACAAAAGGCCAAATGAAACCAACCCAGATGACAATCTTGGAAGCCTGAACTTCAGAGGAAAGGTTAGAGAAGCAGAATGAAAGCTTGCTGGAGGAGAAAGCTGAGCAGGGATGGTGAGATAGGGAGACTGACCAGTGAACAGTCGGCCAGACAGTGCCCCTATCTTGAATTTTAGGGAGCAGCTGTAGAAATAGAAGGTGGACTAGCAGAGCAGATTCATACAGGCGACAGGAAAGATGTTATTTCTTCTTTTATCCCAAGCTTCCCTAGTGTCCAGAGGTGTCAGCCCTCACCCTCATCCATCCCCAGCATGGACGCTGCTCTCCAGGAGTTCAGAGCCTCGTGGTTGTGAGTTGGGGGCAGCTATGTCTCTTTGGTGCCCAGATTCAGGCAAGTTCAGTCTCAGACCTACAGAAACCACACAGCTACCAGACCAGCATTAGCCTAGCAGAAATCTTCATAACCAGCCACCCTGCCCCCAGATGCCCTGTGGACCTAACAGACACTGAAACCAGCTCCATCAAGGGCCTCTACCAACTACTTCCAGATTGAGTGTCCTGAACATAGACAACACCTAGGCCTATAGGAACTCCATCCAGGGCCAGCAACTGCACTGTGACATCACTTCCGTACCTGCCTCGTGAGTTCCTTGGTTGGTAGGAGCTCACCAAAGTCTTCTCCTTTCTAGGTCTAACAACTACACTGGGGTTTTTTTGTTTCTGATTTTGTTGTTTTCCCTTCATTGTTCAATTTTTTCTGTTAGTTTATTATTTCTTCTCCTTCTCTTTCCATTCCTGTTTGTCCTTTTCCTCTCTTTCTCATTTCCCTTCTTTTTTTGCCTTTAGATTTTTCTTTACTATTTTCCATTCTCTCTTTTCATCTTCCCTCTCCCTGGTTTTCCTACATGTTTTTATTATTATTAATACTACTTCCTTTTATTTTCTCTCTTAACTTTTCTCTTCTATATCTCCATTTCCTAGTCCCTTTTTTCTCTTTTTAGTTATTATATTCTTCTTTTCTGGATGCTGCCTGTTCTTATTCCTTTATTCTACTTTATTGTTTTCTCTTTTCATTGGTTGCTTGTTTGTTTATTCTGTTTTGGGGTTTTTTTTTTTGTACGGGGACAGGGAGGAGTGAGGGAGTGGTTTCTCCTCCTTCCAAGTGGACAGGAGACAGCAACTGTGCCCATACAGTCCAGCTATAACCATACTCACTGCAGCTCCACCCACTGGGGAAGAGCCAATACCAACCCCTATACCACCAGATCAACAATAGACAGAAACCAACACCAGCCCAAACCACCCTAAACTGAAGTGCCTGTATGGTAAATGGAAAACTGCACACACCTCCATTCTCTATACACACAGGGAACAGTTTATGAACACACCAACATATAATCATCAGTTAAATACAAATATGACACCACCACAATGCCCCAGAAACAACAGATAGTTTAAGTTCACACAAAGAAACAAGAGTGAATGGCTCAAACAAATAACCAAGATGCAGAGCCAGAAAACATTTCTGTGGAAGAAAACGTAATGGAACTAACTGAAAAAGAATTCAAAAGAATAATATTTAGGTGCCTTCAAAGGAATGACAGAAAGATAGAGAAATCCAAGAGAACACAGAAAAAATTTTAGAAGAATTCAAGAAAATGCTACAAAAATAAACAAACAAAATAAATGCAGAATTTGAAACAATATCAGTACAAAATCTGCCATTAGAAAGATTTCAAATATGAACAATACATTGAAACAACAAAGGAGTAAATTAGAAGCAATGGAAACACAAATTAATGAGCTTGAAGATAAATTCCTTAATATTACTATGCTAGAACAATCAAAGGAAGAATTAAAACATCCAAGAAAGCTTCACAGTTATGTGGCACGCCATGAATAGAAACAACTTACAGGTGACCAGAATTCCAGGACAGGAGGGACAATAAAAAGCACAGAGAAAATTGTCAAAGAGCTGTTGGGAAAAAATCTTCCCTAACATTATGAAAGAAGAGAAGGTAAATATACAGGTAGCTGAATAAATCCCAAATAGGATAGACCCCAAAAGAAAATCACCAAAACATATCATAACCAAACTTTCCAAAGCCAAAGACAAGGGAAGAATCCTGAAAACACCTCAGGAAAAAATGAAAAGTTACTCAAAGGAAAACCAATAAGAGTAAGCTCTGATTTCTCAGCAGAAACCATGTAGGAAAGCAGACAATGGGATGACATATACTAAACCCTGAAAGAAAAGATTGCCAACCAAAAATCATACACCCAGCAAAACTGCCCCTGAAATACATTGTCAAAGTTAGTACATTTCCTGATAAACAAATTAAAGGACTTTGTAATGACCAGACCAACTTTACAAAAAATGCTGAGAACTAACAACAGCAGAAAACAATCAGAGATTACCACACATGACAATACCATCTAGAATTCTACACCAGATACAGAAGTATTGAAGTAAAACAAACCCATAAGACTGAAAATAGGGAACCAGAGATAACAATATATAATAAAGTTAACTACAAAGCAAAAAAAAGGAATAGTGTAGATACAGAACTTCCAGATGGCAAGGACGTCAAGTGGATTTTAAGATACAACAGACTCTTCAAATCAAGGGAAAATATTAATAAATTACAGGGTAGCCTCAAAGAAAACTGATGTGTCTCCAAAAAAAAATCAGAAGATTTAGTAAACATTAGTAAACACAACAGAAGTGGGGAAAAAAAGAAAGCTCACAAACAAAATGAACTCAGTGCAGAAAATTATGTAAAACAAAGAATCCAGAAGCACCACACAAAAAGAAGGGGGGGGGCGGCGCAGGGGGATCCATAGCAAAATAACAACAATCATTTCACACCTATTGATAATTACACTGAATGTAAATGGATTAATGCACCAGTCAAGAAACAGAAAGAGCAGAATGGATAAGAAAACAGGATCCTTCAATATGCTATCTACAAGAGACATATCAAAAAGATGGAGACAGCCTAAATGCCCATGAACAAAAGGATGCTTAAACAAACTTTTGTACTTACAAATAATAGAATACTACAAAATGTTGAAGAATAATAATGAAACTGCAAAACACCTAACAACATGGATGAACCTGGAGGACATTATGCTAAGTGAAATTAGTTAATGACAATATAACAAATATTGTATGAGACCACTGTTGTATAAAGTTAAGAAAAGATTTTCTTGATGAAAGAATAATTCTATAATGGATACTGGGAGAGGAAGGATTATTCACGGACTAGAGGGAGTCCTGGCTTGGCGCTGCAGGTTAATGCACTGGACTGCAAAGTTGGATTGAGCTACAAAGTCAGCAGTTCAAGCTCACCAGCCATTCCTCAGAAACCCTATGCAGGGTCGTTATGGATGGAAACCGATTCAATGGCACTTAACAACTACAAACAATAGAGGATAGACACGTGTTAACATGATGATGGGGCAGACAATATACAAGAGGGAAGTTAGCAGAGAAAAGATGAGGGTAACAGGAGACACAGGGAGGAATGCAAGGGTTAAAGTGAAGAGAGGTAAATGCTGTTAACTGATGGTACATGGAGAGCATTGCAATTATTGTAATGAAGCAAAGTATGTGATTTGTTGCATGAAAAACTGACAATGTAGGAGTGGCCGGGGACTCTAGACCCAGAGAGGGAGAGGGGCTGTGTGCTGATGACCAGGGGGCAGGCTTGCAGGGTATACCCTTTGGCTGGTTGATGATGCATGGAGGGGATTGTAACCATGGCAGTGAAACGATATATGATAGGATGAATGTAAAGCTAATGTTATCCCATGTAAACTATCACATAATTCACAATAAAACATTAAAAAAAAACAAAAACTGACAATCTATACCCTTTAGTTGGTTGATGATGCATGGAGGGGATTGTAACCATGGCAATGAGACGATATACGATAGAACAAATGTAAAACTAATATTCTCCCATGTAAACTATCACATAATTCACAATAAATCATTTTTTTTAAAAAAACTGATAATCTTCTTTGTTAACCTTTACTCAATTCACAATTTTTAAAAATTTTTAAATGTATTAGCAGGATTTATTTTTTTTTTTCATTTCCCTTAGTATCTACATCATCACACTTTTGTCAGTAAAATTACTCAAGCAAAACCCCAAAACAGCAATGTCTCTGCTGTTGTTGTTGAGTGCCATTGAGTCAGTTCCAACTCATAGCCACCCTGGATAGGGCTTCTGAGGCTGTAAATCTTTTGGGGAGCAGAAAGCCTTACCTTTCTTCCAAGGAGCAGCTGGTGAACTTGAACCACTGACCTTGTGGTTCACATTCTAGTGCTTACCCTACAGAGCCATCACACTCCCAGAACAATAATACAACTTTGCTCATGTGAAAGGTGAGCGATATTATTTTAATTTGTGTGAGGTTTTTTTTGCTTACTGGTGAGTTGAACTTCGTTTTTTATATGCTTGTTGGATGCTTGTATTTTCTTTTCTGTAAACGTGGTGAATTACAATTGTGCTTTTGGTGTCTTTCTAATAGTTTTTTACATAAGTTTGTTTTGTATTAGACATTGCCTACTGTATTTGTAGTAATGTTTTAGAGTCACAAACGTATTTTTAAGATTCACTGTTGTTGTTTTTGTGAAGCGCCATCGAGATGGTTCCGACCCATAGTGACCCTGTATAGGTTTCCGAGGAGCAGATGGTGAGCTTGAACTGATGTCTTTGCAGTCCAGCACATTAACCCAGCACCACACCAGAACTCCCAGTTTCATATGTATATTTTTCAAATTTATCAAAATAAAAATTTAAAGTTGATTTTTTTTTCTCTTGAGGGAATTGGGGAGCAAAGAGAGAGTTTGATGTTAATGAAATATTCTTTAAAAGAATTCTTGCTAGCCACCCGAGTGACCACACTGTGTGTTTTATTGAATACTGTACTGAAATGCCAGTTGGCGCCCTTGGGAGTCAGAAAAGTGATTAATAAATCATTAATCCTTGTTTTCTGGATGTTTCACTCTGTGGTTCTTTTGCAGTTGTTGAGAAACACTAGCTACCAGACAGTATTCAGGATGATGCTCAAAGAAATGGCTGAACGCAGTGAGCTGGAAGAAGATATTGAAATCCCCATGACTGGGCATCTGAAGAGTGAGACCAGAAGGAAACTGGGGATTCTGTAAGTACCGGAGAAGTGGAGCTAGTGGCCAGTAGATGTGGTTGGGTCAGAAGGAGCAGCAGAGAACACATAAACTGATGGTACAGAGAAAAGAGAAGGCTCAGGGTCAGGCCGGTTTCCCAAGTCAAGGAGTAAGGGACAGGCAAGCCACAAATTCCAGGACAAGAGCCAGGGGTCAGGTGGACCGGATGATTCAGCTGTCCGAAAACAGAAAAAACTCAAGAGCAAAGACATGCATAAGCATGTGAGTCACCAGATAGGATCAGAGGCAGATGGTGGCTTAGGTTGTAAATCCAGAACAGAAAAATATCTTGAAGTACAAAATGAATATATACCATAGAAATGACCCCATTCACCCTAGACTAGCCAAGTTGTTCTTGAGTGGACTCCTGGTGGTCTCATGTGTGTCAGAGATGGACTGTGTTCCACTGAGTTTTGGGTGGCTCATTTTTCAAAGACAGAGTGCCCGGTCTTTCTTCCAAGGCACCTTGGAGTAGACTGGCTTCTCCAAGCATTAACTGAGCATGTTAACTGTCTGCACCACCCAGGGACTCCACACTCTAAGTTACTTTTCCAGGCTCCCTGGAGAAGCGAGCTGCTAGCCTTCAGTTTCACAAACCTGCACAGGATCCCCTATAGGAGTGAGAAATGAGAAAACTATTACAGACCCATTGAAAGTTGCTGATCTCTTGAACTGAGAAGTTAAGGCTGTCATTTCCAACCTGGAGCTTAGGAGGCAGAGAGCTCCCTGAGACTATCACCCTGAGACAGTCTTCAAACCTCCAGCTGATCCTATCCCCTGAGATCATGTTTTAGTGAAATGGCAGAGTGGCACACAAAATAGATCAATGCCGGACTGAAAACCCAGGAGACCAAGTGTCAACAACTACTCAAAAGCGGCCAGAACACAGGCGTGCCTGGGAGATAGAGCGGCTTTGGTTCCAGATGACCACCATAAAGCGAGTATCACAACAAACCGAATCAGTGACAATTTTGGTTTCTCAGTGTTTGTAAAGTTACATTTATGCTATACTTGGTCTGTTAAGTGTGCAATAGCATTATCAAAGTGTTTTGAATATTGTGAAAATGACCCAAGTGTGACAAAGAGACACCAGGTGAGCACATGGCTGTTGGGAACACAGTGCTCGACAAACCTTCCATTTCTAAAACTACAAAACGAGGCGTGGGTACCCTAGAAAGGGTACTGACTGCACACAATGAAAGAGAATGTAGACGCACTGTGATCCCTGTAACTTGGTCACTGAACAATTTGTGTGGAAATTGTCAAATGGAAACAGAACTTGCTGTATAAACTTTCACCCCAAACTCAATGAAATATTTATATTTTGAAAACAAAAACAGAAACTTGCCATGTCACAAGCCTGTTCTTTAGATCTAATGAAACCCGGGAAGCTGGCCCCTTCCAGCACATTCCCTTTCAAAGGCGGCTCTGATTTGAGAAGTAGGCAACACAGCTGGTCCTGGAGGCCACTTGTTATTGTTGTTGTTGTTAAGTGCCGTCGAGTCGGTTCTGATCCATAGCGACCCTTTACAGGGTTTCTGAGGCTGTAAATGTTTACGGGAGCAGAAAGCCTCATCTTTCTCCTGCAGAACTGCTGGTAGTTTCGAACTGCTGACCATGAGGTTAGCAGCCCAACTCTTAACCACTATGCTATCAGAGCTCCTTTGGAGGCCACTTATTGGGAAGTAAAGCAGGTCAAGCCATTGAGATGCCAGTATGGCTTGCTTGTATATTGGCATGAGAGAGGGCTTGATCATTTGACAGGCTGCCCCTGCCTTCCTGAGACTTTCATGAGAAGTCATTTTGAGTGAGTTTCTTTGGCAGCCTCCTACTATTTGCAAAGGAGTTTCAGGTGGCCTTTCCAGTCACAGACAATGCTGGTTTTTCTAAGCTATTTCCACTCCCGGTGTGGCACTGGAGGATCAGCACTGGACTGTGAACCACAAGGTCAGCAGTTCAAACCTACCAGTTGCTCCTCAGAAACTCTATATAGGGGCGCTACAAGTCAGAACCAACTCACTCGACAGCACTTAACAAAAACAACAATTTCCAAGTGTGAGCCTTCCTGGGGTATGCACATGCATAGCAAAGCCAGCTGAATTTAACTCTGAGCCACACTTGGATTTGGAACCTCCCTGCCCTGACCTAGCCTCTAAAACAACTCTGACTGATTTCATTCTGGAGGCTTTGGGATGGGCCATGTGTACTAACTAAAGGCCACCCCTTCATTTCACTAACCAGAAGAAAAGCTGGGTGCAAAAGCAGAGCTTTGGCTCAACCTTCTTGTGTGAGCAGACTCGGCAGACTCTTGCATTCCCCACACCCAATCTCAACTTTTAAAGATGTTCCATGTTCCTTTCAGGCTGAAGAAAAATTTTGGGAAATATAAGGAAACAATCCTGTGGATTATGAAGAAACGTGAACGTAAGTACTGACCCTTCCACTCCCCGTTTTGTGACTGGCCCCCTTGTCTGGGTCTCCTTGCCTCTCCCCCTCTGCACTGGGCCATAAGGGAGGCAGAAAGCCATTCACTCACTTGAGCACCTGCTGGGTGCTAAGCATGTCCTTTCTGCCACGGGTAGAACATTGAGCAAGACAGCCACAACGTTCGGAAACCTCAACAGCCTTACCCCTTTGTGCTGAGGAGGGAAGGTGGCTAGGCAAGAAAGGAAGAAGCTGCCTTTAGGATGATCAAGTCATGTTATGATCGGAAGTCCTCGTGTAGTGCTGCAGGATAATGCACTGAAACGGAAGGTCAGTTTGAGCTGGAAGTCAGTGGTTCAAACTCACCAGCCGTTCCTCGGAAACACTATACAGGGTTCCTATGTGAGTCAGAACTGACTCGACAGAACTTAACAACAACAACAATGGGGAGAGATGCTGTAATACCACACAGAAGGCAACCTGGGCTGGGTGTGTGGAAAGGCAATACTCATGCCCCTTTAACCAAAGATGTTCAGAATCCACCTGTTATGATTTGCCTATTGTAGAGGGTACCCGTTTTTTGGGTCTAATTATGGCAAGTTTGAGTCAAGACTCCAAACTATCAGGTTACTTAATTCAGAGTCTGAAAACCAGAAATGTGGACTATCTTTCCAGTTACTAAATATAACTAATGTAGAAATGGCAAAAAACCCGCGGTAGACAGAACTGATCAGTCTTTTCTCAGATAGTCGGGGTGCAGCTTCAGATTCCCCCTCATGAGGGCACTCCAGTCCAGACCAGGCCTTACCCTTACAGACTTGCTACTGTGTACTAGGTGCCTTCTCAAAACTCTCGTCTGCAAGTTAATATCCATAACAATGTGAAGGAAAATAACGAATTAAGGCTCAGAGAGGCTAAGTGGTTTGCCTAAAATGACCAGCCATTAAATGGAAAAGTCACACATACGCCCAACACCTCCTAAGCCACATGTAGTGTCGGCCCCTTTGGCAGGTTCAGTGAACAACAAAGGCTGTGTGTTTGGAGAAGAAAAAGTTGGGACCCTCACAACACACAAAAGGGGGTTACCCCCTTCAGTCTTTGTGCTGGAAAGGGCCCTGCCTGCTACCATGCCTCTCACAATGGGCTTCTCCAAAACAAAAAAAGAGGAGTTCAGGTGCTTATCAACCAGAAACACAACAATGTCTACTACTCTTGTAAGGTAATACTTGTCTATTGCTTACTTTTCTGTTCCCTCTGGGCTTTAGACATCTGTGTCTTTAATGCCTTGGCACCTTAGTAAAGCACACAGTAGATGCTCAATAAAAGTTTCTTGAGTGGATGGGTGGGTACATGCATGATTTTTGTTTCTTTTTGTTTTTCAGGTCTCCTTACAAGCCAAGGTAAGACTTCCCATTAGAAAATGAAATTTGATAGAATACAAATGGCCAGATTCCCCTAGTGCCCCACTCAACCCTGCCCACTACCTGCTTCTCTGGACAACTGAAGCCTAGAAGGTTTGAGCTTTTTATTCAGAAAAGCAACATTTCTAATCGATAAGAGACATCTTTTCATGTTCTTGCTGTGGTCAGTCCCAAGGAAATCTCCCAGTCTCCTTTGATATGATAACTCCTTTCTTCCAGTATCTAACCTATGATTTCATATTCCAAGCCCATAGCCCATGGCTCTGAGCGCTCCAATTTTCAAACAAAAACCTGAGTGTGCACACAAGGTCTCACGCTTACATGGTCCCCGTGCTTGGTTCAAGGCTCACTGTGGCTGCTCTGCAATCCTTCATTACTCTCTCTTCCTAATTCTTTCCTTGGCACAAGGTTAATACGGCAAAGTGTGTAGTCTTTATTGTTCAGAATTTTTTAGACTGAGTGAAAGAAGCTGGACAACATTACACAACTTGTATTAAGAGCCATAAAATTCAAAGGTCTTTGTGAGAAAGACACTGAGATTCATTGAGGCACTGTGCATGCTTTTTTCACAGCTACCCTGTAGCACTGTGGGGTAATGCACTGGGCCGCAAGGTCGGTTGTTAAAACTCACCGGCTGTTCCTTGTAAACTCTAGGCAGTAGGAACCAACTAATGGCACTTAACAACAACAAACAGCCCTGGGTAACTAACTGTAGACAACAGTATTCTATTTTAAGGAAATTGAGGCTCAGAATGGCAGCTGAAAGCCTCACTTAATAAGAACTAAGCAAAAAGCCAGAAGGTCCATGATTGTAATTATTCAGTACATAAAATCAAAATGAACACATAAATGTCTTCTTTTATCACTACAATTACAAAAAAAAAAATGTTTACTATTTCTAGTTGATTGCTCAGAAACAGTAGCCTGGCTCGCTCTAGTTTTTGGCTTCTCACTCTGATAAATCAGTTGTTGTTGTGGTTGTTAGATGCCATTGAGTGGGTACCAACTCATAGTGACCCTATGCACAACAAAATGAAGCCCTGTTGGGTCCTGCATCAACCTCACAATTGTTGCTACACTTGAACCCCAGGCTGTTCCCACTGTGCCAATCTCTTTGAGGATCTTCCTTTTTTTTTCACTTACTCTACATTTTACCAAGCAAACCTTTCCTAATTTTAAACCATTCGATGTTCCCTTATTCTGTTTAAACAACTGCGTCTTGGTCTCTGTAAGGGTTCCGTATGAGCACAATTTTTCTTCAGAATACTCATTATCATCTGGCATTTTATTTGTTTATTTGTTAAACATCAATAAAACAGATACTATTATTAGCATCAGTTAGAAGTCTCCAATGTTAGAATGAACAGCAGCAGGTGTTTCTGATGCCCAGGGCAGTTGCTGGCACACAGAAGGTACACAATAGATGTTTATTGAGTAAATGAACAAATGATCTAGCCCTACCTGCCTCCCCTGTCCCCATCTAGACTTTCACCATGCAGTACTTATCCACAGAATTCCCCAGTGTGTATTAGAGACTTAACCCAGTGTGTTTTAGAGCCTTAACTTCTCAGGGGATCTATGTTGAGGCCAATGGCGAGACCATCAAGCTGTCTGGACCGGCCTGCACTAAGCTGTAGCTCAGTAATTCCTTCTTCTCTGTAGAGCATCTGTCTGGTGCTTCAGCTGAGCTGTTCTCCAAGTTCATCAGCTCTGCTCCTAGTCTTCTCAGTCTTGTACCAGGCTCACCAGGAACACAACTGTTCCTTGTTTGTCTTTGCTAATTTCATTCTAAAATTCTATTCTTATAACAACAGATGAAAATGGATATGAAATGCAAACTGTTGTTGCTATGAAAACTAAATTGAATGCTTTCGAAAGACAATAAAGAAGTTGTGCTTTTCTTTTCCCCAGTTGTTTTGAATTAGGAGTAGACCCAATATACATTAAAAGATAGAGTGATGTTTAGAAATAAAAAAATATATTTTAATGAAAATCTATGGTTCTATACTCAGACTATTTAGAAGCTACCAAACCTGAAAATTATAAATAATAAATTATGGATGGGTTTAGACAAAATGATCACAGAACCAATATCAGACCACATTCAAAGGAAAGATCCTACCTTTCTTTTCAAAATAATATACTGACATGTTGTTATTGTTGTTGTTAGGTACCATTGAGTTGATTCCAACCCGGAGTGACCCCGTGCACAACAGAACAAAACCCTGCTCAGTCCTCTGCCATTCTCACAACAGCTGAGCCTTTTGCAGCTGTTAGTATTCCAATGAGTTTCATTAGGGGTCTTCCTCTTTTACACCGGCCCACCACTTTACCAAGCACAATGTCCTTCTCCAAGGACTTTGTGTTGTTGTTGTTATGTGCCGCGGAGTCGGTTCCGACTCATAGCGACACTGTACAGGGTTTCCGAGGCTATAAATCTTTACAGGAGCAGAATGCCTCATCTTTCTCCTGAGGAACCACTGATAGTTTCACACTGCTGACCTGACGGTTGGCAGCTTGACTCGTAACCACTGGTCCATCTTAAAATGTCCAAAGTATGAGACATGAACTCTGGCCGTCCTGATTTCTTAGAAACATTCTGGCTATACTTCTTCCAACACAGCTTCGTTTGTTTTTTGACAATCTATGGTACTTTCAGTATTCTTCTCCAACACCGTAGCTCAATTTTTCTACTGTTTTCCTTATTCATTGTCCAACTTTCACATGCATATGAGGCTGTTGAAAATACTACGGATTGCATCGGGGCAAGTTAGTTCTCGAACTGATATCTTTGCTCTTGAACACTTTTTAAAGAGGGCTTGTGCAGCAGATTTGCCTAAAGCAATACATCACTTTATTTCTTGACTATTACTTCCTTAAGAGTTGATTGTAGATCCAAGCAAAATGATTCTTGGACAACTTCAATCTTTTCTCCGTTTATCATGATGTTATTTACTGGTCCAGTTGTGAGGATTTTTGCTTTGTGAGGTGCAATCCATAATGAAGGCTGTTGTCTTTGATCTCCATCAGTAAGTTATTTAAGTATTCTTAGCTTTCAGCAAGCAAAGTTACATCATCTGCATATCACAGGTTGTTAATGATCTTCCTCAAAGCCTGATGCCACATTCTTCTTTATATAATCTAGCTTCTCAGATTATTTGTTCAGTGTACAGATTTAATAAGTAGGCTGAAAGAATATAATGCTGGTGCACCCTTTTCCTAATTTTAAACCATTCAGTGTCACCTTGTTCTGATCGAATGCTGCTCTTTGTCTATGCACAAGTTCCTTGTGAGCACAATCAAATGTTCTTGTATGCTTATACGTTGCAATGTTATCCATAATTTGTCACGGTCCACACTAAGCCTTTGCATAGTCAGTATAGCACAAGTCAACATCTTCCTGGTATTCTCTGCTGTTAGCCAAAATCCATCTGATGTCAGCAATGATATTCCTAGTTCCATGTCCTCTTCGGAATCTGAACTAAAACAGACTAGGAAAATATTAACATACTTTTGTGTTTTGGTTCGGGACACAGATTTATGGTATCTGTCCTCTTTTTAATGACTCTTAACTTTAGTGTCTCTTTGTTGTTGTTGTTGTTGTTATGTGCCATGGAGTCGGTTCTGACTCATAGAAACCCTGTATAGGGTTTCCAAGGCTGTAAATCTTTACAGGAGCAGAAAGCCTCATCTTTCTACCATGAAACAACTGGTAGTTTCGAACTGCTGACCCTGAGGTTAGCAGCCTGATTCGTAACCACTACGCTACCAGTGTCTCTTTGTTTGTTGTTGTTATGTGCCATGGAGTCAGTTCCGGCTCATAGCGACCCTGTACAGCGTTTCCAAGGCTGTAAATCTTTACAGGAGCAGAAACCCTCATCTTTCTCCCACGGAACAGCTGGTAGTTTCGAACTGCTGTCCCTGAGGTTCACAGCCTGATTCGTAACCACTATGCTACCAGTGTCTCTTTAGATGAACAGAAATACCAGTTCCGCTTTCTCTGGCTGAGAGCTTTTCTCATAATACTGTGTATCTGTTTCCTAGGATTGCCCTAACAAAGTACCACAAACTAGGTGGCCATCAGAACAGAAGTGTGTTGTCTCACAGTGCTGACACTTGAAAGCTGGACACTTGAAGTCAGTGCGCTGGCTCTATTTGCTCCTTCTGAAGGCTCTGAGGGAGACCTCTCTCCTACATGCTGATGACAACTCACCATCCTTGGTGTTCCTTGGCTTATACCGTCTGTTCATCACGGCAATCTCTATCTCTGTGGTCACATGGTCGACTTCCTTCTGTGTCTCTGTTCTTCTTTTGTGAGGACACCAGTCATCCTGGCTTAGACATCCTCAGAAACCCTGTTTGTGAACACAGCCACATTCATAAATACAAGGGTTAGTGCTTCAACAGATCTTTTGTGGGGACAGAGTTCATTCCATAACACATTGTGGGTTCCGGTAGAGCATCCTCTAACACCTTCACCCCCAGCCTGGGCCTTCTTCACTATTGTATTCCAGTATGTAGTCCACACAAAAACCTGATGAGTGAATAAACAGAAAAAGTAAGAGATCCAGGATTTTACCCCTTACATTTCTGTCATCTGAAGACTTGCTTGTTATATCACTCCTGGCAACCTTCCTTATTTGAGAGGAACTGGCTGACCTCCCAACCCCTCAAACTCCTTTTGGTGCCTTGAGAGAGACCGATCTACATCTCTACCCAAGTCTGACTGGAATTCTTCGTTGCAGAGTTTGGTACCTTAACTTTTCGCTTAATGGACCACAAACCACCAAAAGTTAAGAAGCAACAAGTAAAAGAAATCCAAAAAGTTCATCATGTTGTTCAACAGAAGAAGAAATTAGAATTAGATAAAGAATGGGTGATGACTAAGATAAAGGTAAGCCTGTTGATTGTGTTTTGGGTTTGGATTTCATTTGTTTTTTTGGCTCAGGTGAGACACACACACCATCAGGGAACATCAGGTCTAATACACAACATGAACGTACACAAGAAAAAGACAAAATCCAATACATAAAATCCACTGCTATTGAGTAAATTTCAATCCATGTACCAGCTGCTTTTCAGGAGAAAAATGAGGCTCCCTGCCCCTGCAAAGATACACAGTCTCAGAAACCCTATACAGGGTCACTATGAGTCAGAACCAACTCGACGGCACTTAGCAGCAACAACACACATACACATACTATGTTGTTAAGTGTCATTGATTCAATTTCAACTCATAATGACCCTGCATAGTATTTCTGAGGAGCGACTGGTGAATTTGAACTGCCAACCTTTTGGTTCAAACCGACCTTGCTTTTCCCCACAGCACGACCCCAGAACTCCTAGGACTCCACTACATATATGCATATATACGCATATATATGTAATCATTCTGGTGTGGTGCTGAAGGATAAGTACTGGAAGGCTAACCACAAGGTTGGTGGTTCAAACCTACCAGCTGCTCCTTGGCAATCCTATACAGGGTTGTTATGATTAGAAACTGACTCAATGGTGCTAAACAAGAGCACGTATACATACATATAGAAGGTCTGAGTTATTAGGAGTGTGACTAGGATATTTTACTAGGATTTTTAAATTGAGACTCAGCCTATAAGGTTCTGTTTTTGGCCAATGAATTAGGATTAAATAGAAAGAAAGGTAATATATCAAAAACACCTTATTCTTTGACCAAAATAAAATCTACATCAACAGTGAATCATATGAAATGATGCAGCCACTCTAGAAACAATATGGTGGTTCCTCAAAAAGCTGAAGGTAGAACTACCAAGAAAGACCTGATGATCTACTTCTGAAAATTAGCCAATGAACAATATAAGGATCATTTCTTGTTGTTGTTGTTAAGTGCCGCCGAGACGGATTCAACCCATAGCGACCCTGTACAAGGTTACCGAGGCTGTAAATCTTTACGGGAGCAGAAAGCCTTATCTGTCTCCCGCGGAGCGGCTGGTAGTTTTGAACTGCTGATGTTAAGGTTCGCAGCCCGATTCATAACTTAAGGATCATGTTGTTGTTGTTGTTATGTGCCGTGGAGTCGGTTCCGACTCATAGCGAGCAGAACATTATTCAGTATGGAACTGGAAGATGAACATCAGGAAGACTAAGGTGGTCCAGGACCAGGCAACATTTCATTCCGTCCTACAAAGGACCCCCAGGGGTCAGAGGCCACTCAATGGCAAGGAACAATAACCACATACATTGTAACATTTGCAACAATCATGTGGTGAGTGTGTTGTTATTATCCTCATTTGATAGTTGTTTGAAGAAAATGAGACCCAGAAATATTTAGATCTCTATCCTGATGTGGCACTCTAGGATTATTAGCACTGGGCCACAAGGTCAGTTTGGACCAGCCACGCCTCAGAAACCCTATCAAGGTTCCCTATGAGTCAAAACTGACTCCACAACACTTAACAACAACAATCTCAAGGACACAGAGCCTGTATTCATTGGTGCTCCTTAGCTACTGAAACAAACAACCCCAAGGCTAAGTAGTTTAATTGCTGTTGTTAAATGTTGTTACTACTCATAGTGACCCAATATAGAGTTTCTGAGGCTCTTCACAGGAGCAGCTGGCAGACTCCAACTGTGGACCTTGTGGTTCACAGCCCAGTTCTTATGTTATGGAGCCTCTGTGCTTTCACGTGGTTTAATAAATGGAAGCATATTCTTGCTCTGATTATTGATTTGAGTTTTGTAGCTCTCCAGGGTGGCCCTCCTCCAAGCTGAGGAGTCTCAGAGATCTGGGTTCTCTCCTATGGTTTTCCATTGCTCTTCATCCTCTTGGGTCCTTCAAGTCCAGTTTCATGGATGGGAAGTGGAGCCACAGTCCACATCTAAAAGTCATTGACTAAAGCTAGTAAATGCACCTCTATACGAGGGCAGTGGTAATTATCCTGCATCTTGTATGTGCCCAGGAGAAAATGAGACCTGTTTGAACTAAGAAAAGCAATCAATCCGCCTTCACAAAATGGCGAGTGTGGTCGCACTGGTGGTAAAAGTAGAAGCAAACAGGAAACCTACACTGTTAACCACGTATGGATCCTTCAAACTTCCTGAGAAGAAATGAGCAGTTCAGGGTGTCTTCACCTCTCTGATCTGGAAGAGGCTTTGAGTGGGAGGTTCTACAGGTTGTGCCAGACAGCAGAAAGGGCACTGGAAGCTTCGTATAAGGCCTTCAGCTTTCCCATCTCCCTGGTCTGACCTCCAACAAATTAAAGAAACCTTCTGTGCCTTCTTGCTCCATCGACCCCATGTTCTTCCCATACACCATACCTGGTCCTGCCTCGAAGTCTGCTGCTGCAGCACCTGCCCCCAGCCCGTATCCTACAACCTAGAGGAAGACCCTCAACAAGATCTCTATGCAGAGAGATCCTTCCTAACCCACCATCCATGTCAGGTTACGTATAGGGCCTGAGAATTATGACACAGTGGGACAGGTGGGGATTTAAAAAGGAAAAAAAAGCAATAAATTCCAAGTCACTTGTTGAGTAAATAACACTGTGTGTAAGAATCTGCTGGTGCTCAGACAGAATGCATCCAGCCCAGACCCAGCAGCTCCCCAACAGCCAGGGAAAGACCAGAGACTGCAGCTCCCTCTGGCTGCCTAAACCAGTAGCCAGGTGTTATGGTTCCAACTCATGGAATGGCTCTCATCACCTGGATCTTGCATCTAGCTCTCCTCCATCTGGCCTCTGGTTCTCAGGACTTGAGCCTCACTTGACTCACCAACTTCTGTTGACTTGTGAGTCAGCAGTCTGTCATCTGACCTGCTATACTAGAGTGTGGAGAATCCTCCAGACTGACACCTGAACTATAGATTTGAGACTTGCCAACCTTCACAACCGTGTGATGCTTCAGGAGTTCTGTGAGGTATTGCTGTGAATTGTGGTGCCCAGGAACATGAGGAGGAATAATGGTGGTTGACATCAGAGATGATGGAGTGGTATAGCATTCTGGAAAAGCTGGCCATTTAGGACATCTTTAACCTCCACCACATAGGAAACAACCTCTTGCTGATCCTTCTAAAAGAAACTATTCATGCAGTTGCTCATGACCCCATGTGTCCAGAGTAGAACTGTGTTCCACAGGGTTTTCAAAATGATGACCTTTTGGAAAAGGATCACCAGGTTTTTCTTCTAAGACACCCAGGTGGGTTCAGACCACTAACTTTTGGTTAGTATTTGAGTGCTTAACCATTTTGCCTCCAGGAACTCCCTCTGGCCTTTCTGCTCTTAGCCTCAGATTCTGTCCCATAATGATGACGTTTCTGCTCTGAGACATATCGTTCATGTATCTTCTCAGTGAGCGGAAGTATGCCAATTTCACCTCTGGAGCAGAGGTTTTGCTTTGCACGTGGGGTTCTTAGCATTAGAAAAATGTCCTTACATGATATTTGAATTTAACAAGTAGAGAGTATCTCAAAAATTCTGCTTTCGGGGGGAAAGGCCTAAAATTCAATCTTTCTTCCATGAGAAATACCTATAAGTCCATTGGGAAGAGCCTACCCATGGGTATCATGGTAAGGAACTTCTTTAGGCTGAAGAAAGAGCAGTGATTTATAGGGTACAGGTAGAGGACAGGAGCTTGGTGACTGAAGGCATTGTGGTTCATGGTTAAGACCACACGCTTAAGGCTCAGATTACCTGCCTCTCACTGGTAAGTAATTTAAGTGCTGTAGGATAAGCACTGGACTGCTAACTGCAAGGTCAGCAGTTCAAACCCACCAGCCATTCCTCAGAAACCCTATACAGTGTCGCTATGAGTCAGAATTGACTCAACAGCACTTAACAACAACAACAAAGTGGTGGTAAGGTTTTTCCACTAAAAGTGTCTACTATTTCATTCTACTTGGATCAACAATCAATGCCCTTGGATGAAGCACTCAAGATATTAAATAACATATTGCATTGGGCCAAATCTGCTACAAAAAACCTCTATAAAGTTCTAAAACACAAAGATGTCACTTAGATGACTAAGATGCTCCTGATCCAAGTCATGGTCTTTTTGGTCACCTCATATGCATGCAAAAATTGGATAATGATAATGAAAATAGAAGACAATGAATTCATTCCAATCGTGGTGCTAGCAAAGAATATTGACTATACCATGGCAGTATCAGATTATGTAATAAGAAAGGCAAACCCAGACTTACTTGTCCTTACTCATATGTAGTGAACCATTCCACATTTTTCACCACATCAAAAATTCTGCTTATAGATAGAGCTGGCGTCTGTCTCTTTCTCAACCCCACAACACTTTCCTACAGAATCCCTGACAGAGATAGAATGATGCGGTGAAAACCATGTGAAATGGTTCACTACAGAATGGTGAGTAAGCTCATACTCACCTTGCTTATTGGGTAATTAATCCCTACCATGGACTGTCAGTCTTGGTGTGGCATTGTGGGTTAATGCACCAGACTGTAAATCCGTTTGAACTGCAAGGTCAGAGCAGTTCAAGCTCACCAGCTGCTCCTTGCAAAACTTATACAGGGTTGCTATGGGTTGGAACTGACTTGAAGGCACTTAACAACAACAACAACATGGACTGTCAGAAGAATGAGAAAAATCAGTCTTAGAAGATATACAACCAGAATGTTCCTTGGAAGCGAGGATAGTGAAACCTGACTCAGCATCATCAGGAATGAACAATCCCTAGAAATGGACACGTGTTTGGTAGTCAGTTAAACCTCATTAAGATGGACTGACACTTAATGGAGACAATGGGTTCAGCATTCAGTGACCGTGAAGATAGAATGGAGCAGGACCGGGTAAAATTTGCTTCTGCTACACACAACGTGCGCTGGAGCTGAGTCATGCCAAGTGACAACAACAAATGAGGGTAAGACTAGTTTTGTGCGAATCAGTGTCTGGCACAGCCAAACACTGTAGGGTGTAGGGAAAGAGCTAGCTACGTGATGTCTAAGAGAGTAACTTCACCTAGTGTAGCCCTTTTCATTCCGAGGCCCAGGCTCCTTCCTGGGCATTTAAAGGCAATGCCCTGGGAACCCTGACAAGCAGCAGCTTCTCAAACAGAGAATCTCTTTCCTTGATCTGCTTGGATGTTGACATTCTGCTAATATGTTTTCCTTAAACAAAACATTGTTTTGCTGCTAAATATAATAGTTTCAAAATCACTGCTAAATATAATAGTTTGAAAAAATAGTTTGAAAATCTTCCAATTGATGTCAGACAGAATACCAGATCACCTGAAGACACCTTTCTGCTCCAAACACCTGGGAGACTGGAAAAGTTAGGTAACAACAACAATGGAATCAACAAACCCATGGCGGGAACTTTGAAAAGACTGAATAGGCAAACCTTTTGGCAAGGTTGATTTTAAAACTTTTTTTAAAAAAAAGAGAAAGAAAAAGGGATAAGACTATAAAGAACTAAGGCAGGGACACAGGCAAATAGCCACAGATAATATGAAAATGTTTTTAAACATGATGTGAATTTGTATTGTACCAATAAATTTGAAAATTTACATAAACAATTTCCTTTTAAAAACTGCAATTTACTAAAACTAATCCAAGAAGAAATTAAAAACGTGACTACACCAATAACCAGAGTCCTGGTGTGGTGCTGTGGGTTAATGCATTGGACATCAATGTTGGTTTGAACCACAAGGTCAGTGGTTCAAGCTCACCATCTGCTCCTCAGAAACCCTACACAGGGTCGCTATGGGTCAGAACTACTCAATGGCACTTAACAACAACAACATACCAATAACCATTGTTATTAAGTGCCATCGAGTCAGTTCCAACACATAGAGACCCTGTATAGGGCTTCCGAGGAGTGACTGGTGGGTTTGAACTGCCAACCTTGTGGTTCACAGTCCAGTGCTGATCGTTCAGTGCCACACCAATAACTCTTAGAATGGCTGAAACACTGGTTTAAAATCTATAGCCACACACCACTGGTCCAGTTCTACCTCCTTGCTATCTAGACACAAGCATAGAAACCCTGAGTGATGTCCTATCCAAAGCTCCCAGCAAGCTCAGGGCAGTAATGTGCAGAGCAGCCTGAGGGCATTCACAGAGCAAGTAGAGGAAATCCCTAGCACTCCAGCAAAAGACGCTGTACCCTGAACTTGGGCAATCAGCTGTCTTGTACCTTTCATGGACTTGTCTCTTCTCCCCAGGTACATCAAGGTGATGGAAAAGTAATTCTTTACCCCAACGGGACTGTCTTCCAAGTCCTCTTTCCTGATGGGACAGGCCAAATCTAGTATCCACCGGAACAGTAGGATGCTGTGATTAGACCTGGGCCTGGTGATGTTTGCTGAGGGCTGGTATTCTCTGAAGGTTCTTCCTTTTCAAGGGGTCCCAATAGACAGTTTGTGCCTTAACCACCTCCCAGTTATCCATCAGGAAACCTGGCTATGCTAATCTTCAGTGTGCAAGCTAGAAACTTCACATACGTCATTCTGGAAGACAGTGATAAAATGTGGATACGGGCCCTTATCAACAACTCTGGCCATGCCACCATCTATGATGAAAACAAAGACATCTGGTAAGCTTGGGCCACCAAAAAAACAAACGCATTGTCATCAAGTCGATTCCAACTCATGGTGACCACATATGTATCAGAGGAGAACTGTGCTCCACAGGGTTTTCAATGTCTTCAAGTCCATAGTTGATTGCCAGGTCTTTCTTCCTCTGGAAGGACCCAAACCACCAAACTTTTGGTTAGCAGCCAAGCACATTAATCATGGGCACCACCAGGGTCTCCCAAGCTTGGACCATGTGTCCTAAATACTTAGTACTGATAGAGGGGCAGAATGGTCGAAGTTTATTCCCAGTCTACCCTGCCTTCTTCCCTTACTAGCTAAGTCTCTCTCTCTCTCTCTCACCTGTGAATGTATTCACCCCTTAACACACACTGGAAATGGGGAAAGATGTATAATGATGACTACCCACAGCTGCTCCTTGGAAACACTATATCAGGTTGCTAGGAGTCGGAACCCACTCACTAGTCAGCACTTAACAACAAACACCTAATAAGATAGGCCCTGGTCCTGGTGCATCATTGTTGCCCCATGAGTTAAATAGGAATCGGAAGTTCACAACAACCCCATTCTGTGGTCCTCCTAAACCCCTCTTGTGAGAATTGCCTTAGAAAGAACTCATCCCTCCCAGTTATGGGGGTCTCAGAGAAGAGGACCCAGCAAGGGCTTTAGAGACATGTACTGCCACCTTCCCTGATACAGAAATCAAACACGCAACTTCTAAACACTTCATTCTAAATGACTCGGTTCATAATTTCCCGTTTCTGGTGATGGTGGAAACATTCAACAAACCGATTCAGTATACCCCAGTATTACTTCAAGATTTTTCCAAATCTCTGTTGGGTAAGTTCTCTGTTATTTCAAGATTTTCCCTCTCCCTTTGACAACTAACCAAAGAGTGGGAAGTTCAAACCCACACAGAGGCACCTCAGAAGGGAAGCGTGGTGTTCTGCTTCCAGAAGAAGACAAGCTTGGGAAAAATCATTTGAAGCTCAGTTCTACTTTGAAAATCATGGAATCTTTAGGGGTCAGTATAGATGGAATGGCAATTGGCTTGATTTAGAGTGAGAAATGCATATTGACTTGGATCCACTTCATACTTTCTTCTTGATAGTGAATGGCAAACACTTCTTTTTTAATTCAGAAATATTTTGTTCACTCTCCAAACCTTGGTTTTTTAAGACAATTTTCTCTGCTCTGAGACTTTTGAAACACTGTTTTCCAGTTGACACCCTTGTTGTCAGGTGTAAGGTGGAAGTGAGAGGGGGTTGGGGGTCTACCTGAGCTCGGTGGGGACTGTATAGAAAATCCTGTGTGGGTGTGGAGGCAGGAGGCTGGTACAAGAAATACAGTGGAATAAGGGCAAGAAACCTATTTCATGTTCACAAGTATTATCGAGCTGTGTACAGTAGGGCCTCTTCTCCCCAATGGTGCTGAATTTTAGGGTCACAGAGGCCGTTGAGAAATCAATTCCAAGAAAGTCAGAACCTCTCTCTCAGTTTATTGATGAGGAAACTGAGATCAAGAGAAGACTCACGTATCTTGAGCCACACATACGGGTGTGCTTACTAACAAGATGTTTTCTGACATTTTGACTTTCTATATTTAAAAAAAAAAATCATTAAAAAAGAACAAAAGCAAATAAGGTATACACGAGAGACGTCCTCAGAGACAGACTGCAGCTCAGCTCATCAGTACTAAAGGAGAATGGTTGTGCTCGGAGCTGGGATGAGCCTGGGAGGGGGCTTCAAAGCTTCCTGGGGACTCTGGGTCAACCAGGTGGGCACCCCGGCACTGTACCCTCCCCATAGCCTTTCAGCTCGTGGAAAGTGGCAGGTAGCCTGCCCTTGTCTCCCGTGGCTGTTTAAAGTGGACAGAGACTCTGAGGGGACTACTGTGTCCCCTCCTGTAAAGTCCCAGCAGGAGAGAGGTAGATGGCTGTGCTGACACCCCAGATCCTGGCTGGGCCTCTGGAAAAGCCTCGATTTTGTGAATCAATGGGCCCACGTTTCCATGGCCGGGGGAAGTCGGCCCAACAGCTTTCCCTGAGCAGGTCTGCTCCCATTAAGACACAGGAACACCTCATTTCACACCCCTCAGCTCTTTCATTGTAGTTCTGGTATGCTGCTGTGGGTTAATGCGCTGGACTGCAAAAGTCGGTTTGAACCACAAAGTCACCGGTTCAAACTCACAAGCTGCTCCTTGGAAACCCTATACAGGGTTTCTAGGGGTTGCAACTGGCTTGACAGCACTTAGCAACAACAAAAAAAAAACCTCTTTCATTAGAGTCCTGGTGTGGCTCAGTAGGATCAGCACTGGACTGCGAACCACAAGATCATTGGTTCAAACCCACCAGCTGCTCCTCAGAAACCCTGTACAAGGTTTCTATGAGTTGAAACTGACTCGACAGCACATGACAACAGCAACAATCTCTTTCATTGGGACCTGCTGCCTTTTTGCTTTTTTCCCTTGGAAGCTTTTACAGAAATCTGCTAACCATTTCATGACTTAAGGAGTTGAGCAAAATATTGACAGATTTCCCTTGTAACCTCAAGTTCCTCCAAGACTGGAGGTTAGAATTTGGAGGCTTCCTGGTATTTAAAGCAAATTATGTGGACCAGGTGGGATGTGCCCACAACTCACAGCAAACAACCCCCGCATCCTCCCATCCTTGTCAGACCCAAGCCCCTCTGCCAGAGGCCATCCCCCCCGGCCTAGCTGGGACACCTGGCAGCGGGCATAACCTACTTTCTTTGCCCTTCGTGCCTTGCCAGTTGCCCGTGAGTTGACTCTGTGTGTCCAAGTGCTCTATAGGGATTCTCATAGTGCACACTTGAGAAGTAGATTGGCAGACCTTTCTTCCAAAGCACCTCTGAGTAGACTTAAACCACCAACCTTTATGGTTAGCTCCTGAGCACGTTAACCAACTGTTTGCATCCCTTCCTTCTTCAAATCCATTATCATCAAGTCAATTCCAACTCTTAGCGACCCTGTAGAACAGAGGAGAGCTACACCACAGAGTTGTCAAGACTATCAATCTGTATGGGAACAGACTACCCCATTCTCCCACTGAGTCACTGATTGATGGGTTCAAACCACTGACCTTTCAGTTAGCCACCGAGTGCTTAACCACTGCACCACCAGGGCTCCTCTTCCTTGCTTGGTGCTATATGACTCATGGAGTGAGGTGAGTCAGGTAGGGTAATACTACCACCTCAGTCTCCCCCTCCCTACAAACCTTTCTATCTGCCTCCCCCAAGGGCAATCTCACGTTATCTGCGCCATGCTCTAGTTTGCCTCAAAGCAAAGGAACGCTGCACCAATGATGGCATTTCAGACATCAGAGAGGGGGATGAGAGGGAACTGTCCATGTGGACCCTATCACACCCATCACCCCCCAGAAGTCGTACCTTAGGGCCATACTTTCTTCTCTGAATGTCTCTCCTAGTCCCATGCTGGTTCCTTCCCCAAGGGCCCCTCATCCGTGACATAAGGACTTGGTCCCTGAATTGCAGCCCATGTCACCAAGGAAGATAAAGTTACTTGGCCAGGGTCACCCAACTCAGATCACTGCTAGAAGTTTCACAAACTGTTCCTCCATTGCCGGCCCCAACCCTGCACCCTGAGCACTGGCCGAGTGCTTCTCCGTGTGGCCTGGTCACACCAAGGACTCGGAGCCTACTTCTTCAGTGTCTATCACTTCTTAGGGGTTTTGTTGGTTTGTTTTTCCCATTTCTTCAGGCAAAGCAAAAGCCTCCATTGGTGGTTGCAATTTTCTGAGTGTGTGGAAACTATAGCAGATCACCGCTTCCACCCCCAGGGACCAGGCTTCCCACCAGACAGAGGGACCCCCACCACCAGGAGCCCCAGGCCTGCCTATTGTTCACAGTTCAAGCCTTTGCAGCCTGTATTGGACTTGGGGTGATGCAAACCATTAGCGTGTTCAACTGCTAACTGAAGAGTTGGAGATTCAGGTGCACCCAGAGAGGTGCACCCAGAGAGAGATACCTTGGAAGAAAGGCCAAACAATCTACTTCCAAAAAATTAGCCACAGGGCTTTCTAAGGAGCAGAGTGCTACTCTAACTCACACAGGAGGTTCCTTGAATCAGATGGACTCATCAGTAACTGGTGTGTTTTCTTCTTGTTGTTGTTATTGTTGTTTTGTCTCCTAAGACTGCCATAAATTGAGTGGCTTAAAACAGCAGGACTTTTATTGTCTCCTCATTCTGGAAGCTAAATATCTGGGTTTAGGGTCATTCTCTTCAGAGCCTCTGGGGAAAGGTCCTTCCTAGTCTCTCCAGCTTTTGGTAGCCTTGGGGGCTCCTTGGTTTATAGCTACAGCCTAACTTTATCGTCACATGGTTGTCTTCCTTCTGAGTCTTCTTTCATAAATGAACACCAACCAGCTCACACCCCACTGATCACAACTGCAAAGACTCTGTTCCCAATTGAGGTCACATTCACTGGTACCAGGGTTAGAACCTCACCATATTTTTCTGGAGAACACAAGTTCACACGAGACACATCCCTGAAGCGGTGCCTACAGATTCAGATCACTTTGGGGTGCTCTCGATCCAGATTTCCAGAGAGCATTGTAGCCCCAACTGAGCACTCCCAGCCAGGGAGCAGGCCTCTAACCCCAAGGAGTAGGGAGGACCCAATGTGAGAACTTTGATGGAGGATTTAAGGGATTAAAATTGGCTGGGGAGAGCCCTCCTCTCTCCATCATTGGCATGAAGGAAATTCTAATATTTGCCTAGTTCCTACTATAGATAGGCATTTCATCCTTGCAACAACCCTTTGAATAAGGTATGAGTATCAACTCCATTTAAGGAGCTCTGGTAGCATAATGGTTACGAATCGGGCTGTGAACTGCAAGTCAGCAGTTCGAAACTACCAGCTGCTCCACGGGAGAAAGATGAGGCTTTCTGCTCCTGTAAAGATTTACAGCCTCGGAAACCCTGTACAGGGTCACTATGGGTCGGAACCGACTCGACGGCACTTAACAACAACAACAACTCCATTTAGCCACTGGAAGAAACTAAGGTCTTAAGAGGTTTCCTGGTGTGGCACTGTAAAGTAAGCACTGGTTGGTGGTTCAAACTCACCAGCCACTCCTCAGAGACCCTATGCATGGTTGCTACGAGTCAAAACTACTCAACAGCACTTCACAACAACAAGAAAAGAGGTTAAATAACTGGTCCAAAGCCATTCAGCTTACACGTGTCAGAGACAAGCTTTGAACCCGTGTCTGGCTCTGGAATCCTGTTTATTGATACTTCACTGAGCATGCTCTTGTTTAAGTGAAGCAAAATGAAGTTGAACAGGCCAGGGCCCCACGGGAAAGGGATTTAACAATTCTCACTTTGTTCAACAGGAAATTCTTGTATAGGAGAATGAGTAGAAAATTCCTCCTTGTTCAACATGAACAAGGCTCATCTTAACAGGCCTCTGTGACCGCGTAACAAGCCCCCAAGCAGCCCCAACAAAAACTGGCAGATTCTCTGAGTAAAACAAGGTGTCCCAAGCCCACCTTCTCCTGACTAACCCAGGCCTCAGCATCACGTCCCTTTGTGTGGGTGTTATGCATTGAATTTCATCCCCCAAAAGATATATTGAACTCCTTACCTCTGTACTTGTGAATATGGCCCAGTCAGGAAACAGGTTTTCTTTTGTTATGTTACCAAATTTGTGCTGGAGTAGGTTGGTCTTACACCTAATTCTTTCTGAATGACGTCTTACAAAAAAGGGAAAACAGACACCGAGAGACACAGAGATAGAGAAAACACTAGGCCAAGGAACGCCAAGAAATACCTAGGGCCGCCTACAGCTGGAAGAGACAAGAAAGGCCTTCTCCTAGGGCCTACAGAGAGAGTGATCCTCCTGACACCCTGAATTCAGATCCCTTACTCCCAACACTGTGAGGCAATAAATCCTGGTCTTGAAAACCACCCACTTGTGGCCATTTAAAAATGGCAGCACTAGGAAACCAAGACAAGCTAAGAGATGCCACTGCCCCCAACTGCAGCTCTGATGGGATTCAAAAGGCAGAAGTCAGTCCAGAGATATATGGTGGGCTTGGAAGCCAAGAAAGAACAGTTCAGCAAGTGAAGCCTTGGAGAGCAGGGCTTGGGAGAGACAAGAGAGAAAGGCCTCCAGCCCTTCCCTTATTTGATGCCTGCTTGACTGCAAAACCATTTGAACTGCAAGGTTGACGGTTCAAACTCACCAGTAGCTCTTCGGAAACCCTGTATAGGGTCGCTATGGGTCGTATCTGACTCGACCGTACTTAACAACAACAACAACAACATGCAGTTGCCAGCCTGAAGCGTGCCGCAGAAATTCAGCAGGGAACCAGACAGACATGATTCTTACCCACGCAGAGCTTCCATTTCAGTGGGGTAGAGCAGATGATATGTAGTAGATTCTCAATATTCACCATATTTCGGTTCCATGAAGTACCTGCAAATGCTGAATTAGCAAATACTGAACCGCCTTGGGCAGTGGGCAACCCAAAACTTTTGCTGCTCCATGCATGTCCACAAATGACTGCAAAACTTCCCCAAGTGTTGATCTTGGGGTTACAATCAAATTTTAGCAAGTAGGCAAATTTACAAATATGGCATCCACAAGAAAGGAAGATCCAGTTATATGATGGTAAACGCTATGAAGAAAACTCAGAAGATGGGAATGGACAATCACTTAGGCACTGCCTTAGTCTCCTAGTGCTGAGTAACAGAAATACCACAATGGGAGGCTTTAGAATAGAACACAGAAACACATCTGCTCTCAGTTCTAGAAGCTAGATAGCTGAATCAGAGTCTGTCTCAACTCCTTGTCAGTACCACTGGGAGTTTTTTGGTTCCTTGGCTTGTAGACAATCCTCACATGATACCTGTCTTTCCCTGTGTGTTTGTGTGTGTGTGTGTGTGTATTCTACTCTGCTTCATAACTCCATAGTGATCAGATGTAGAACCCATCCCACTTGGATATACTCTAATTAACATAATAAGAAAAATCTGATTTCCAAACGGGGACCACATTCACAGGTAAAGGAATGGCATCCCAGCACATATTTGGGAGGGAAGGCACACAATTCCATTGATAACAAGGAGTTAGGTCAGGAAGGGACTCGCTGAGGTGAGACCTTCAGGATAAACTGGAGACACCATGAAATAGGGGGTGGGGGGTAGCATGACAAATTCCTCCAGTGAATAAAGAGCCCTGGGGCCCCAGGAACTGAACAAGGAGGAGGGAGTAAGGGGGAGGCTGGGCACATCTCCAGAGCAGAGCCTAATGCAATGTCAAGTCCCCAGCTTGCCCTCCTGGAACTTTTCCTACCTGCTGAGACCCTGTGGGCCATTCTTCCCACTAAGGAGGCAGGAAATGAGAAGGCAGGAGGAGGAGAAGCTGGAGTTCTGCTCTGCCAGAGGAGAGGTTGGGGTGGGGGCGCACTCCTCAGGGCAGTGCACTGACTGAGCCTTGTGACTTCTTGGTCTAGGTTGTGCCTGAGCTACAATCTGGGCTACTACTTCATTGGAAACAGAAGCCAAAAGGCTTGGAACTGGTGGAATCTAAACCTCCACACTCATGCACCCCCAGTCCGGCCCATCACCTTGGAAATCAACCAGTACATCAAGATACACATACAAAGCCAAGACGAGATCTCCTTCTACTTCATTCACCAGACAAAGCAGATTCATTTAAACCTTGGCACCAAGTACAAGGTAAGCTGTCAATGCCCCAGACCCTTGGCCAAGTTGAATGCCTACCTGTTCTTGGGATCCTTCTGATTCAGAATGGTCCACACCCTGAGACCAAACAAGATCTGTCTCTTGCCAAGCCACTCAACAACAATCCAGGTACCATGGAGCTGGCTACGGCCCCAGGTGTGTCACCTTAGACCTGTGTTCCATAGGGTTTTGAATGAGGACTTGTTGATTAGACACTGCAACAGGTCTCAGCTCTGGCAGGGTTTCCACAAGCCAGAACCAGACTCCCAGGAGAGCAGACTTCCGGCCGTAGGTGTACCAGGGCACAAGGGCTACCCTTCTGTTTCTGTTTAATTAATTTATTATTATTATTATGATAAAACCTATGTAACAGAGTTTGTCATTTACACCACATTTTGTTTACAACTCAAGTGACATTGATTGTATAAGCCATGTTGCACAACCATAAACAATAACTATTTCCAAAACTTTTTCACCACCCTAAGGGAAAACGTGGTGACCATTTAGCAAGAACTCCCATTTCCTTCTACCCCAGGTCCTTGAAAAATCAATAATAAACTTTGATCTCTAGTATTTGCCTATCCTTGTTGTTGTTGTTAGGTGCCGTCCAGTCAGTTTCAACTCATAGTGACCCTACGCACAACAGAACAAAACATTACACAGTCCTGCACCCCCGTCACAATTGTTACGCTTGAGCCCATTGAGCTGCCCCTCTGCGAGTCCATCTCACTACAGTCTTCTTCTTTCTCCCTGACCGTCCACTTTCATGTCTGAAATGTGAGGGACAAAGAATCACCATCCTGAATTCCAAGGAGCATTCCAGCTGTACTTCTTCCAACACAGACCTCTTTGTTCTTCTGGGAGTCCATGGTACCTTCAATATTCTTCTCCAACACCACAAGTCAAATGCATCAATAATTCTAAGGTCTTCCTTATTTGTTGTCCACTTTCACATGCATAGGAGGCTATTAAAAAATACCATGGCTTGGGGCAGGCGCACATTAGCCCTAAACTGACAGCTTTGTTTATAAACACTTGAAACAGGTCTTTTGCAGCAGATTTGCCTGCCTATCCTAGATATTGCATATCTGTGGGATCGTGTGATAGCTGTCATTTGTGTCAGTCTTATTTTCCTCAGTATTTTCAAGGTTCAACCATGCCGTGGCATAGAACAAAACTTCACTTCTCTTGTATGAAGGCCCTTCAAAAAGTTCGTGGAAAAATTCCATGATCTTTCTATTCCATTTTTCTATGAACTTTCTGAAATCCCTTCATATGTATGTCCCACATTTTATTTCTCCACCTATTAATGGTCACAGTTGTTCCCACCTTTTGGCAATTAAGAATAGGTTATAATGAACACTGGTACTCACATATCTAAGGCCCCTTCAGCTTTGAGGACAGACTATGGGGTGCCTCAGCCTGTGTCCTTAGTAGACCACAGGCTTCGGTCACGTGAGTGAATTTGAGGGAGCAGCTGAAAGACCTGCAGCCCCAAGCCTGAAGGGAATACTGGCCCATGGTCACAGCAGACTTGACTCTGAGGGTGTGTGAGGGACAGTGAGAAACTGAGGCAGAGCTTATCCTCACCTACTCTTCTGTGAATTTCCTCAGTACATAACTCCAGAGGCGCTGAAAGAAATGAAGAATAAAAGAGTCCAAGAAGTGGAATTCAGTGCTACGGCTCAGAAAATCCAGATCCTCCTGGGAAAAATGAGCAAGATCCGGAATCTGCTGACAATCTCCGACTTGGAAAACTTTGTGGCATCAGCCAAAGATTTCCTAGGAAATACTTGCCAGAAGAAGAAATCTGAGTTCCAAGATGTGGTCACTCACCTGACTATCCCAGAACTTTCCCAGTATCTACAGAATGTCTCAGGATGGGAGAATCCTCAGGAGCCTGAAGAAAATTCTAGACCTGTTTAAGTC